TCATTTCTAAGTATGCCATTTTACAAAGATGGTTAAGTTGGGTCTCCATGGACAAGTGTTTGTCTAAGTATACTCCTAGAGTTTTTGCTTTGTTTGAAAAAGCGACAGTACCTTTGCCAATGGTGAGACATTCTACATCAAGAGCATTGATCTTTGAGCTGGTTGAGCATGGCATGATTTCTCTTCGCTGACGACCAAAGCCTGGCACACAAAGATGAACAAAGTCTCCAATACCACACCACACCACACCACACCAGACCACCAGATTAAACGAAGAAAATAACAACTACGACATGAAGATCAACATCAACAAAACAGAGACAATGAAAGTAAGCAGAAATCCAAGACCACTCAGGATACACATCAACAGCAACAGTCTCAGACTGGTCCAAGAATTTAAGTACCTCGGAAGTATATTCACAGAGGATGGGCGACTGAACAGAGAAATTGAAACAGGAGTACAAAATTCCAATAATGTTAGTTGCCACCTTGCTCCACTTCTGAAATATCCTAATATCCCCATGACAACAAAACTCAAAATGATCAGCACCATATTCATCCCAACACTCACCTATCAATGCCAAACATGGACCACGAACAAGACATTAGAGTAAAGAATTACAACATGTGAAATGCGATGTCTTAGACAAGCTGTAAACAAGACAAGGCGAGACAAAATTAGAAACTCAGTAGTCAGAGAAATGGTGGGCACAAATGATGTCATGCATCACATCCAACATCAAAGAATCAAATGGTTCGGGTATTTCATGCGATTACCAACACACCATCCAGCATAACATGCCTACATAAAAAAATTCAATGGCAACAAGGCTAGAGGGCGACCGAGAAAGACCTGGATAGATGGAGTCAGGGAAACATTAACCACCCACGGCATCCCCCTGACCCAAGCTCTCCGGATGGCGACAGAGAGACGTCTCTTTCTTCCCACGACAGCCAAAAGGGTAGAAGCGGCGGATACAAGTAATGTAAAAGTAAGTCCATGTTCCAGGTTCACTTGTCGGTGGTCGTACATGCACTAGCTGTAGCTTCAGTTCACTTAGTCGCTACCATACAATTACAACGGTTCTATTTTCTCAGTACCTAATTTTGAGAAATTTCTCGTTAAAAAAGTTGTTTCATATGTCAAGCTTTTACGAATGCAATTCCTTGAATATCTTGATAAAACGACTCTGAATAATCTTACCATTTCGATAGAGAGAACAGAACATTTGGTTTTGGATCTCATAGTCTAAGTATCTCAAAACGGCCAAAAATGTCTGGTAGAACTTTGCAATTATAGGGTAGCGTAGTGTCTATGAGTCTAGAGATTGCTAATACTTGTAGATTTGATATGTGTAATCTACCGATCGGTGCAATCTTGCGCTGCCCGTTTTAACAATCGTATACTTGCAGGGCAATCTGGATATTGCGCTACTTGTTAATATTTAAAAAATAATTTTCTTTTAAATTACTTCTATCTTTATTCTTTTACTCACATCAAGGGACAATCACATATATTTTCAAAAGTGTAAAAATATGAAAATTGAATTTTAAATTAAAATTGACATATGAGACTGAAGAGCTCACAAGAATGATACAATGCCAGGTATCAAACTCAAAGTTCTAAAAGTATATTTTAGTTTATTTCGTATTTTTTATATATATTTTTTTCCAAATCCATTCCATACTTTGATTTTTTTCTTTTTTCAAATTCCCTTCCATCTTTCTTCTTTTACTCACACCTAGTAACATTCACATATATTTTCTAAAGTGTAAAAATATGAAAATTAAACTTAGAATTAAGGTATGAAACGGAAGAGCTCACAAAAATGATACAACTATACGATCATTAAAATGCGAAGCGCAATCATAAGATTGCACCGATCGGTACTTTGCGGGGAACAGATTGACTCACCGAGGCCACAGACAGTGTGTAGGCAAGGAACAGCACCAGGGTGAGACACGCCCACTTCCTCCGGGTCCCCATCTCCTCTCACTCAGATCTCCCGGGGGCAGAAATATTCAAATAATGTAGATCTGTCCTGGGGAAACAATGACAGCACGTTCTTGCTGGAGTAATGTTTTATAGGAGTAATGTTGAATAAATGGTTGGAGTAATGATTAATAAATTGTTGGAGTAATGTTTTATAGGAGTAATGTTTGATAAATGGTTGGAGTAATGTGTTGAATAAATTGTTGGAGTAAAGTTGAATAACTTGTGGTAGTAATGTTTGATAAATTGTTGGAGTAAAGTTTGATAAATTGTTGGAGTAATGTTTGATAAATTGTTGGAGTAATGTTGAATAAAG